AATGACCTCTCCAAGCCTCTTGGTTTTAAAACACATAGCTCTGATCATCTAATTTTCCTGGGAATTCATGCATTCCAAGAGATTTCAGTGCACTAAAAAGCTGTGGCAGTATTTTTTAATTTTCATGTGACCATAAGGTAGAGACAAGAAAGTACCACCAAAGACATTAAGATTTCCAGTCAATCCGCTGCTTGCTCGAAGCAACGTTCTCTTATTGCAAGAGCTTACTCATCAGTAATATTATATTCTAAAACAATGTGTGCTTCGAAAAATAAGCATGAGCTGTGAAATCTGCTTAAAATTCAGTGACAAAAATAATGAGTTCCTAAAATAAATACCAACACAAGAACTTATGTTTGAATACAATAGATGAAACTAATTAATATTAATGGTACACAGTTGCAGAATTTACTTTCATTAAACATTTCTAAAAGAGATATCAAATATATTAAATATATTGCTACATAGGATTTAACTTCTATATCTTTTCACTCAGCATACAAGGAGTTCCAGCCATCACTAAAATTTACAGTGCCCAGCCCGGTGGGCTAGTGGCTAAGGCTCTTGCCTTGAATGCACCGGGATCCCACATGGGCACCAGTTCTAAACCCAGTGGCCCCACTGCCTATTCAGTTCCCTGCTTGTGGCCTGGGAAAGCAGTGGAGGACGGCCCAAAGCCTTGGGACCCTGCACCTGCATGGGAGACCCAGAAGCAGCTCCTGGCTCCTGGCTTGTGGCTCAGCTCCAGCGCTTGCGGCCATTTGGGGAGTAACCCTGTAGACAGAAACCTTTTTCTCTGCCTCTCCTTCTCTCTGTAGCTCTGATCTGTCTTTCAAGAAAAATAAATTTTTTAACAATTAAGTGTTTGTGTCATAACAACTCCAAGTCTTTATTTCATAACATCATGAGACTGATATAATAAACCTATTTACACACACCTGGAATTTTTTATAAACCTCCAGATTAATTAAGCAGAAAGAGCAAATGAATATTTACTGGTCTTCAATTCAAATCTGAAAAAATGTGCTGGTCAAAAAATCAGCACCTAACACGCTAAGAACTGATAACAAACCGTGTTACAAGCTCCGGCCACTAGGTGGGAGTGTTGTCTAACCATACATAGCACACTGTTGGAATTTTTTTCTAAGCTTTCAGGGGAAAAATATACATAAATGTGTAAACATAAACACATATAGATATATTCTTTGAAGGAAATCTTGAAATCTTCTATTAGACATCTGTAATTAGATTTAAATTACGTCGTAAAGATGGTGCACTTCTCATCCATTATATAGGTCCAGCTGACCTAAGCCTTCAGACAAGACCCAGAGCCAGGCAAACCCGTGTGGTCCCAGGCTGCAAGCCAGTTCTCCAAGACACCCTCGAGGCCACCCTAGCAGCCCTAGGCATGAAGCCAGCTGCCAAACATTCAGACCCCAGGCCAGTGCTGGCACCTGGCTGACCTGCACGGACGCTGGCCTCTACAAACACAGGCTCTGGGTCCAGCCCACAGGACACAGTGGACGGGACAACCTGGCGCCCAATGTGGCTGGTGTGCAGACCACCGACAGGGAGATCGCCACGCAAAAGGAGAGGCCTCTCGAGTGGTGTTGAATAGAACACCGGGTGAGCAGTTTCACGGCTGTCCATCGTCCACTACTTTCCCAGGCCACAAGCAGGGAGCTGGATGGGAAGTGAAGCAGATGGGACACAAATCAGCACTCATATGGGATCCTGGCACAAACAAGGCAAAGACTTAGCCACTGAGCCATTGTGCCGGTCCTGGTACTTCAAAAGGTCTATGGAAAATTAAAATTTATCTTGATGTTAAAAAAAATTATATTCATGTATACAATGAAGCATCAAAAAATTCATGGAAAACATATATTATTATGAAAAACTAGCGTCTGGATTCCACAAACGTTTTGAAGTACGATCCTAGCTCCTTTGATGAAGTTCTGTTTAAACTGTTTGCACATTTTTTTAATAGGCTGTTCGCCTTCTAGCTGTTTAGATGTAAAGCTTCCTATATTTTGTAGAAACAATATTTTGTCAAAATCACAAAATCGCAATAGTCAAACTTTCAAGAAACTCTGATCTAGTGGATTTCGCTGAAAAGAATCACATTTTAGTTTAGGGAGCCACGTGTTTACGTATATTATTCACTCTACCCTTTAAAAATAAAATGGTAATGACCTAAAAGCTGAAATAAATGCTTTCTAAAATCATGTTCTTTGAAATTCATTTATGACTAAGTCTCATGAGCACTGTATATATTTATATTAATGGCCAAAAATCACTACTATGACAAAACCTGCTCATATGGCAAGGCTCAGCCACGAGTTCCTCAAAAAAAAAAAAAAAGAAAAGAAAAGAAAAGATGAGACTTTTCATGTTTTAGTATTTTTATTATCTGGAAATTTTAGCAAGAGGCTTCCAAGTACCAAAGTTCTCCATACACAGTCTCTGTTTAACCTTAAAGCATTTGACTACTTTTTTCCTCCTTCCGCTAGTGAACAGGATTCTTGCTGGCCTCACTCCCTCAGTACCCCTTGACGCTGACTCCGGATGCTGTTCTAACAAGACACCTGTCACAGGAAGAATCTGAAAGCGAGTAGCATCAGATGACTCTCCAGTCTTTCTAACATGAGAGTCTGAGCCTGGAGCAGGCAGCACAAAACATCAAACGCATGGTTCAGCACCGAGAAAAGGAAATGATAAGCTGACGCCTGCCAAGAGTTTGGTCAAGTAATCCTCTCCCTTGAGTCTCAGTCTCCTCATTCATAAAGGCAAAGATCATTTCTAATACTTCTTCCAACTCAAACACGACAATTCTGCCAGTGTGGTTGCATAAGCTGGCTTCCTCAACAGCTACACACGAGCTGGGTCGCATGTGCCCAGCACCGGGTTAGCTACTTCCGATCTCAGTTGAGCTCCACAGCGTAACTCTGAAGTTGCTCCCACGATGCCTATTTTACAGATGAAGAGATAATGAAGCTAATACATGACGATTAGGCTGAGACCTGGGTGCTCCTGCTGCCTCTAGGCCCGGGCCTTCAGTTAACTGAGGGAAAGGAAGCCACTCCATGGCAGTGACGGGCGATGACTGACAGTCTCCAAGCCTCAGAACAGAGGGGCAGGCACGTGGCACAGCAGCCAGATCCCCCCTTGGGGGCATCCATAGCCCACATCTGAATGCCTGGTTCAAATCCCAGTTGCTCTACCTTCTCATCCAGCTTCCAGATAATGTCAACTGCAGGAAACAGCAGGCAATGGCTCGGGTGCCTGGGCCCCTGCCACCCACAGGGTAGACTCCGAATGACTCCAGTCTGGCCCAGCCCGGCTGTTGTGGGCACTTGGGCAGTGAACATGCAAACCGATCATCCTTTTCTCTCTCTATTCCCACCTCTCCTTCTCCTCCCCATCCCACCCAGGGGCCTTTCCCTCTCCCTCGCTCCTTATCTCCCTCCCTAGCAAATAAAATGAAAGTGAATAAATAGAAAGTTCAAGTTCTTGGGCCCTTGCACCCACATGGGAGACCTGGAAGAAGTTCATGGCTCCTACCTTCAAACAGACCCAGCTCTGGCTGTTAGGGCCATTTGGAAAGTGATCAAAGGATGGAAGACCTCTCTCTCTCTCGCTGTAACTCTGACTTTCAAGCCAAACAATTAATAAAGTAGAAAAAAATTAACTTGAATAAAGATTCCCTAATTACTGAAGTATCTGATACATATTTTGTCAGTAAATTATTAAATAGCTATATATACAATCGCCCTTCTGACATGCTTCATTTGGCTTTGTGATCCAGCATCAGCTCTGCTGGGTCAGACACCTTGTCCCCCTGCAACAGAGTGTCAGGCAATCTGAGAGTTGAGGGAAGGCAGGCCAGCTTGTGAATGTGAGCCTCAAAGGTCAGGGGTAGGAAGATGACAGTGACGACCATGACAGCGATAACAGCAAAGAGTTCCCTGGCAACAATTCTGATGTCCTTCAACATAGCTCATTTGTTTCTCAAAACAACCCCAGGAGCTGTGTCGCTATAATCTCATTTCATAGGAAAGAAAGCTAAAGTGGGGTGACTCGCACAGTCACCTAGCTAATAAACTCCAAGCTTGTGGTTCACACCCAGGAGGCCTGGCCCTGCACGCAGGATCTTAACCATACACAACTGCTCCTTCCTGTGTAACTCCCAAGACTTGCTAATAGCAGCATTCCACAGGAACAGGTGGAAACACTGACATGCTACAAAGCTGCTTCGATTTTTGTTCTGTACCTCCTTTGAGGAAAATGCCTTCGAAATACAATGCCCTAAACAGGCGGAAAATATTTCCAAGTGAGGCAGCCAGAGGTAAAAATTCTGCAACCAGAACACAATCTCAGATTTCTCATTAGGAAGTTGGTGACAGTATTACCAGTTTGAAGCATTGTGGTGGGGGATTAAATGAGATGGTACGGGCAAAGAATTCAGCGTAGTATCCGGCACAGCATAAGTAATCAAGAAACCTAGTCAATACTGTCACTACTACTAGTACTAGTAATGGTTCTTTTTACTCTGAATTTACACCAGAACTGAACAGATGAATTAGAACAATCCATTTTTTAAACAAAAGCCACGATCATCTCCAGAATCGTGCTTCAGCATCTACAGATCATGGCAGAGGTGTATTCTAAAAGCAGGCACTAAAAACAAAGGAATAGGCTTGTGCAGACCTAGCAGATGAGGCAGCCGTACAAGGAATAATCCATTCTTGGAGTTTTCAAATACCAGAAGCTGAGAATTCTTCAAACCAGAGACACATCACTTCACTCACCAAAAAAAAAAAGTTGCATTACGTCCAACAATTCCTGAATTTTACATCTTGGGAAGGTTAATCTGATGAATAACAAGAGCAAAAGGAGTTTCACAGAGGTAAGAAAGAAGAAAAGACCCAGAAATAAGTAGCACTTCCCATCTTTCACCCAAAACAGACTGGGCGGGAGAGGTATTGAAAACCACTTACTGGTATCTGGAGTTTTCTCTTCGGGTCGGCCAAATAAAAATTCATATTTGGCCTTGGCAACACTCTGGGAATGTGCTGATGCATTGTTAACCCAAACAAATGTCTCTGCCTGCAAAATGAGAACAAAACAAAAGCATTAGTGAAAACACATTCTAGAACAAACTCTTCCACAAGGGAATGCGTAAGCAGTTAAGACATATGTACCTGGCTGGATGCTCTACAACCCACTTGGACGAAATACAAAAAGTCTAACTCAAAACTGAGAATTCAAAATTACCACTGTGTGGTTACAATTACAGGAAAAAAAGAGATACACATGAACCTGGCTTGAGGAGGGGCAGGATTATGTTAGATATTTTTAAATTAATGAATGTTACTTTTAAACGCATCACTACCTATCGTCCGTTACAAGAATACTCCTCTGTGTGGATTGCATCAGAGAACCCCAACACATAAGCAGTCTTCCTCCACAGTAAGTCTCCTTTATAGACACAGGAACACCGCTCAGCCAAACAGGGCAGGCACTGGAACTGCCCAGTGTTCTATTGATACTGCTTGTCCCAAAGTTAGCATCCGTCCCAGTGTCCTTTGTGATTCCTGAAAGTTCTTCTTTGAAAGGAAAGTTACGAAAGTGACAGGAACATGGCTCGGAACCACCTCCCCGCCAGCGAAAGAAAAATACCAAAAAACAAGAGTGTCTCCTTTCTATAGCCTGGGATGGATTAAGGATAAGCAACAAGGAAGAAATTTAAAACACAAAGATATTTAACCGAGACCAGTCACACATTCTTCCTCCTGTTTTACTCAAACAGGAAGCAGGATGTGGGGCTACACTGGTTTTCTCTCCTCGGATTATGACACATCTTCTTGCATCATGTCTGAGTAGCGACTGACCAATTACCTTGGGGAAAAGCAGTAGGATAACTACTCCAGCAACCAAGCAATTACTTTAAAGAGGAAAATGTTATGACTTCTGTTCCCTCCTTCGGAGCACAAATAACTGACAATAGTGAAAAGGCCCCATCCTATCACCCTGCTAAAGACAGGTATAAGGGCAGCCTTCCTTTTGCCCTTCAATAATACCTCCATCAAAGACCTGGCATGCAAAATCTGGCGATGGTAATTTCCTAGAACAGCTCTTACAAGCACTTTATCTAAGGGTCGCTATACAAACAGTGTATGATTCTGAAAAAAGCACGCACGCGTCTTGGTGCCATGTGTTCAATTCATCACAGCTTAATTATCCCTTTCCCCAACAGAGAGGAAATATCAATTCTTTTCCGTATTTGGGGAGATTGAGGCTGGTATAAAAGGAACTCAGACAAGGATTCCCACGACAGATGCCCTAATTTAGGGAGAGTGGTTAGGGAAGGCTCCATAAGGATCTAATATGTGTAGAACTGAGAAGGATAAACGGGGGGCTGGGGAGAGGATGCCCAACAAAGCAGAGCGAGGAGCATACAGATGGCGTGAAGAATGGAAAGGCCAGTGTACCCCCAGCACTGAGAAAGGGAGGCCCGTGTGACCACAGCAGAGGCGGCCAAGGGCAGAGGAGGAGCACTACTCAGCCAAAACGGAAGAGCCTAACCAAGGTGTGCAGCTGCAGCAAGCGCTCCAACAAAGGACTTAACCTCACCTTCACAGACAGCCACTGAAGGATTATAAACAACATAGTAATTCTTTCACGCTTCAGAAAATTACTCTTACACTTTCCTTTAAGACTTATTCTATTCGAAAGAGAGTTACAGAAAGGAGGCAGAGAGAGAGAGAGAGAGATCTGCTGGTTCACTCTTCAAATGGCTGTCACAGCCATAGTTGAGCTGATCCGAAGCCAGGAGCCAGGATCTCTTTTTGGGTCTCCTTACATGGATGCGGAATCCTAAGACTTTGGGCCATCCTCTATTGCTTTCCCAGGTGCATTACCAACGAGCTGGATTGGAAGTGGAACAGCTTGGACCTGAACTGGAACCCACATGGAATGCCAGCACCAAAGGTAAAAACCTATTGGATCATGGTGCTGGTGCCTCATTTACACTCCTAAAAGATGGCTCCAATGTCTGCATCCCTGCCACCTACATGAAAGAATTGAATTGAATCCCGAGTTCCTAGCTTAGGTCTGGCCCTGGCCGGGTTCCAGGCACTGTGAACGTGGAGGAATGAAGCAGCAGGAGGGAATTCCCTGCCCGTGTCCCTCTCTGTTTCTTCGTCTGCCGTGTGTGTGTGTGTGTGTGTGTGTGTGTGTGTGTGTGTGTGCATCTAAAACTTCTTGGTTTTAACCTTAATTCTCTAACTACCCCCCCCAAAAAAAACACAAGAGGACAAACAGAAGTAAAAATTAATTTTCAGTTGATTTAGAAAAAGAAGGCTGAGAAAAGGATCAGTTAGGAGAATAGCTTGCTGGCTGTTTCCGTTTCACTATGATGTTCAAAGGATCTGGGAGCCCCCAGGGGAAGCATTACAGAGCATTGGGTCAGAAAAAAATAAATAAATAAAAGCTAAATTCAAGATTAAAAGTAGCATAACACAAAGTCATTCAAAATTGACACTTGATTCTGCATGATTCTATCTATTCCCATCACAGAAACCAACAACAAAGAAACAGGGCACTACACACAGCAACTCAAGTATGGGCAAAGGCTCAAATGTTGCGAAGGGCAATGGTTAGGCGTCAAGGGCTGAACTGCACACCCTCAAAACTTCTTTGGGGCAAGTCCTGAACCCCAGTTCCTCCAAGGTAACTATAGCTGGGAATAGGACGGAAGATACAACGCTCACCTCCCCGATCAGTAAAGGGAACGGCCAGCACCCCTTTGCTAAAAACCAGGCTAGCAGGGGAAAATCAGTACAGATTTGTTTGATCAGCTTTACATGACAAAGGAGCGTTCAGGAACAAAGACTCAAAGGCACATGGTGAACCACTCATTTCTACATTTAGGTTCAATGAGGCATGAAGAGATATAGGGAAATGTCACAGGACAAGAACTAATCTAACACGTCAGATTGAGGGAAAATCAAGCGAGACCCTTCCATACTCTCCTTGACCTCCCTTCCTATGGATTAGTGATTTTTTTTTTAAAGACTTATTTATTTATTATTGGAAAGCCAGATATACAAAGAGAAGGAGAGACAGAGAGGAAGATCTTCCATCTGCTAGTTTACTCCCCAAGTGGCTGCAACAGCCAGAACTGAGCCAATCCGAAACCAGGAGTCTCTTCCGGGTCTCCCACATGCGTGCAGGGTCCCAAGGCTTTGGGCCGTCCTCCACCGCTTTCCCAGGCCACAAGCAGGGAGCCGGATGAGAACTGGAGGAGCCAGGACATGAACTGGTGCTCATATGGGATCCCAGCAGTTGCAATGTGAGGATTTAGCCACTAGACTGCCATAATGGGCCAGGATTTGGGGGTCTTAGGATCCAACATCAGACAAGGTTAGATCAGACAATATTTTTATGAAGGAAGATTGAAGCACTGTTTTGGAACTTTATGCTTGCATTGGAGAAAAGAAGGTAGTGAGGTCTAGCTTCTGGGACCTACTCTGGCAAAGAGACATTCTGGTTTCTATGAGTTATCTTGAGTCAGACAAACAGCAAGAGACAGCAGGACCGGAACAAGTCAAAGAGAAACCCTGCACCTGAAGTTGCTCCTTGAGGAGTGTTTAAAGAAGTAACTGGGCCTTAACCCAATATGACTGCTGTCCTCATAAGAAGATATCATTTAAAAAAAGAAGATATCATTTTTAAAATATTTATGTATTTATTTATTTGAAAGTCAGAGTTACAGAGAGAGAGGAAGAGACACAGAGAAAGAGATATTTCATCCACTGGTTCTCTCCCCAGAGAGCTGCAACAGACAGCACTGGACTAGGCCAAAACCAAGAACGAACGAGGAGTTTCTTCCGGGTCACTCCTGTGGGTAACAGCAGCTCAAGCGCTTGCGCCATCGTCTGTGGGTTTATCCATTACTAGAGAGGTAGGGTGGAAATGGAGCAGCTGGAACGGGAGCTGGTGCCCACATGTAACGCCAGTGTTGCAGGTGGCAGCTGTATGCACCACTCCACAATGCTAGCTCCTAGAAGAAGACATTATGACAGAGACAAACACCAAGATGTGAAGACACAGGAAGAGAGTGACGTCTGTAAGTCAACGAGAGAGAGAGAAACAGTTCTTTGACCAATTGGGCTCAGATTTCTAGTCTCCGTAACTGAGAAAATCAATTTCTGTTGTTCCTACTACCCAATTCTGTGTAGTACTTCACAACAGCGGCTAACAAACTAATCTATGATAAAAGGGAAATTGTCTAGGGTGACATATACGTAAGTCCTGCCTCTTCCCTTTTCTTGGATGGGAGGATATGCCCCTGGATCAACCCACACAGGCAGGAAAGTCGATTTTGGAACAGATGGTGGATCAATGCATTCTGGCCCATACCGACATGATTCTGAGAAGGGGCGGCTGGTAAGACCAACCCAGGAAAGCTCAGCAGAATGTACTGTCTCTCCTGCAGCCCCATCCCCGCTTTCCAACCGTGACTTTCTGTTTTACATATTCAGATCCTGTGTCAAGCTTCTGGGTAAAGGAGGCACAATACAAAAACTACACATCTACATTTGCTCTTCTCCAAAACCATTAAAAAGCACAGGAAGGAGATTTTCTATTAAAAGCATAAACCAGCATTAAGAGGACATCTGTGAAGTAAAAGACCAAGAGATAGCTGACTTAGCAGATGCCAGGAAAACCTAAGGAAGACCAAGAGAAAATTCCACGCACACGACGAATCCTCCAAGGCCAAGGAAAGGGGGGCATCTTTTAAACTCCTGAAGTGGAGGAAGGGGATTGCTCCCCAGGAATCGTACCTAGGAGTGAGATCCCCAGAGCCCCATTTCCACTTCACTGGGTGGTGACCATCCCCAGCGAGAGAAAAGGACAGAGTTGTGTTAGGAGAGATTTTTCAAAGGGCATCTCCAGCTTGGGGGGACAGGAGACAATTGGAAGCTGAGTATATCAGAGTGGAAACTGGGATCTGTATGCTGGATGTTAGGATGCTTCGAATTCTCCTGCCAGCCAATAGAACACCTGCGCCTTACACAAGGCCTGCCGGCAGACCCTAAGTG